CATCGGCTGACTGAGGCTGAACACTGGTCGACATGATGTGAGGGCTGGTGTGATTTTCCATGGCGCTGTCTGCGGCTTCAGCGAGCTGGTCTAAGGTGCTGTTGTTCTGAACAGCCTTCAGAATCTTACAAACAATGTCTGGAAGCAGTGCCAGCCATTTGCTGCGAAGTAACTCTTCAGAAGCCTTATTTCCGGCGAGCGACCTCATTTCCCTTAGAAGTTGACTAGGTTTCTGATTCCCAAGCTGTAGCTCCGTCAGAAATTTGTATAATTGCCGATCAACTGAATCCGTAAAACGTTTGATAAGGTTTGTCTTCAAAAACATATACTTATCTTGTGCGGGCGGTGCCCTCAGGATGTCAGAAACCTCTTTGAGCACCTCTGGCTTCAGAGCTGCGATAACTGCGTCATACCTATAGTTGTCACTTCTGATATTGCGATTGGAAAACTGTGCTTCGATTTGAATGAACCAAATTTCAGGATCGTTTGCCCAGAATTCCGGCAGCTTTAGTTGAGTCATTGCCATCATGTGTGCCTCGTTGCTGGACAGAGGGCTGTAAAACGGTTGCCCCAGCGGAAGATAATTGTTCAAGTTGCCTGGTTGCTGGTGCAGCTGTGCTTGTTGCTGCAGTAGCTGCGCTTGTTGATGCTGCAGTACTTCTTGCTGAAGTGCTTGCTGCTGTTGCAGCAAGGCGTCTGGTGATTGCTGGGCTGGACTCTGAGTGGCACGATTCGGTGAGTGCTCAAGAGTCATTTTCGTGGAAATTTGTATGTTATGGCACGTGGGTCAAAGGGGTGAGAATCTCGTACCAACGCAATCCGAAAAGATCACGTCGGGGTCACCATTTATAGATACGAAGACTTGACTAGTTAAGACCGCGCGTTTACTAACACTTATATATTTATTCAATTACTTCTGTGACTCTGAACAATAAAGAAAACTTAGAAAATAATATCGTTGTCTGCTACACGTGTGGCGTCAGTAAAAAGGCTTCGGTAAAAGTATTTGCTTTCGTGGCCGGCGTTGGTTTACCGAAGTGTTAGACGATTGCTCGTCGCGCCGCTGTCCGGATGGATCATGCAACATTTGAGGCGGGGTTGCCACAGAACCNCTGAGAGGAATTTTTCAAATTCTTAACGTTTGCAAGCAATTTAATTTTAAAATTTTACACACAAACTCACACACACAATAGTTGTGTTTTTTTTACAAATTATCCAGTAACTTGCCAGCAACTCTCCAGTAACTTTATTTCTAAGAATTCGCTCTCATAGAAAAAATTTGCAATAAAGTACGTGAACGCTTTTCCAGTAATAATTTGCAAGTTTCATGAACAGCTGATAAATTGGTTGTTTATTCGCAGCAAATTCCTAATAAAACAATATATTTTGTATTTAAATAGGTTTATTTTGTGAAATTCAACAATAAAAACCCACAAACAGTTTCCTTATTAGTTTAAATTTCATCCAGAAACATGCGATCAGCTGTTTTTCGTACTGGTAAATTCTTACAAGTAAAAATTTATCCAGTAAAAACTTACAACTTCAACTGTCATTTTTCTCTCTCAATTTCCCCTACTTTGGAAGTTTTTGCGTACGAAAACGCCAAAACATGAAAATTCGTAAAAACTTTTACTGGATTTTACTAAAAATGAGTAAAAAAACGCAACTATTCTCATTTGCAATCTCAAACAACAACAACAACTTTGAACACTTCCTTTTTTTACTCTCAATTTTATACGATTTTAAAATGTTGGCAAACTTCCAAAAAAAATCATGGCCGACGCATTGAGAGAACGGTTTTACCTTACTATGCTTTTATCATGGTAGCAAACACGGGAGTTCTCGCGCTGCTGTCAAAGCGACGCCAGCGCCAAGGCAACGCCACAATTGTATGTAGACGGGCATTTTCGCGTGGGCTTTGGCGTTGGCGTTAGTTTGACAGAACGCGTGTTAAAAGCATGCTTGCTACAAGGAACGCTTGTCAAATGCTTTGCCCACTAAATTAACACACCAATGCCGAATTTCCACTAGGCATTGAAACGACAAACAATGTATGGCATTTAAAAAAATGCCATGTGGAAATTTACTTAATGAATATTTTTTTAATGCAATGGCATGATTATTTTTTAATGCCTGACTTTATCATTTGGCACTTTTGCCTTATAATGCCTAGTGGAATTCCAGCATAGTCACAGATAAATTAATATTTGATATCAATAATTGTATTAAAAATGATATTTCTTGTCCGTATTTGATTAAAAAGAAAAACATTTCACACAATTTTATTCATTGTAACAGCTGACGAACGACGCACGCGAAAAGTTGAGAGTCGGCCATGTTGTTGCTTTGTGTCGGCGTTAGCTATGCCGAATTTCGGCTATGTGGACGGCTGGATTTGAATTCATGTATTCATAGTCAACGATTGATGCGACGCCCACGTAACGCCAAAGTTGTACGAGGATGGGCCTTTATTAGCAAATAATGCGTGCGTATAAACGAAATAACAGTTTCTTAGTCCCCTTTCAGACACGTCAAGTCTTGAAAGCAATTTTTCCCGCATTCTCTTTTGTGTTTTCTATTTTCTTCCAGACGCGTCAACTTCTATTAAATTCCAGTTTTTCGTTCTTTCAATGGGAAGCAACGAAAAGATACAAAGAGACAAGAAAACTTGAAACGAATTGACGGTACGGAGGTATGTGTACTCTTCCCCTCTCTTTTCACCTCCTTCGCTTTGGAACAAGCTGACTTGAAAGCAAGATTTGACGTGTCTGAAAGATGACTTAACATTTTCTTAATAAATTCTTCTAATATATCATATATTTTTACAATTTGACCTAGTTAAACTGCGTTCCTTGCCGAAAAATTTATAATGAAAAAAAATTGTCTGGTTTGTCAGTTTCTTGTATCCTATAATTTGGATTTGTTTGGTTTTACGTAGCATAAATCATGGCATTTCATTTTCTATGCTTGAATTAAACCGGTATACCCTAATGTGGCGTTATCGATTTCTTATGGTAGAATCTGGCAACGCTTTTTGTTCGACTTTCGTTTCTCAGTCAATATTTTCATTTTGGTTTCGAACGGGGCATATTAAAAGAAATTGGAATCAATTTCGCTTATTCGCTTTTCAAAGTTCTTTTTTTTAATAACAAAGCTATGATTTCATGTTAGCTTTTAAAGATCAAATATTATACTGGAAAATTAAGCATACGTCGGCTCAGCTTCATCTAATCTGCACATATCGAAGTACGTATTAATGCAATCAGTTTTGTTTTCTTTAGACTGATGCAAGCGTTTGTGAGATCAGGGCCGTCGAAAACATGAAGACTTCCAACTACCTGAAGGGAAGTCATATGTTTCGCATGACTCGAATTATACATATTTCCTTATGTACGTATATACATAAGTACATATCTATGTTAATTAAGAGCAATTTATTTAACTCGTTTGTTTATTTGAAATTGCAAATTATTTCAAACCGATCATATAAAGTATAAATATTTATAATCTATAGAAATAATGCACAAAAATTGTATCACCGCGTTAAATAACAAACTAACCAACATAAATTGTTTGTGTCAAAATTCACAATGTACTTTTGCAAAAACCTGGTAAGTTCTTAGTTGGATGTTAATAGTTGCGTTCCAGATGCTTCACGATTTGCAGGTTTTTACAGGAAGTCGTTCCAGGTGACCACCTTCCATAAGGTTTATTAACCCTATGGGTTCTAATCACGCGGTTAGTCGCGTGGATTACAATAGTAGTCCAACTTCTTTGGCTGCTATAATATTATATTTTAACAAAATTTTTATATTTGTTTCCAATAAATGTTTATTTATATTATTTTATACGGGTTGGGTTTAGTAGCGGCGCCAACTATTTCGGGCTATTCCGTCCACACACTTGTAGTCAAGGGTCTACCCATTATTTTAGGACCTACTTTTGTAATTTTTGCCCCGTAATATATTTAGAAATTTGGTTTGAAGTATTCTCTTTTTTGTAAAATTCTCACTGGAGCGGCAGCCCAAGGTTTACCACGCAGAAAGGGAATTACAGTTATCTCATCCTTTCCCAGGAGAATTCTATTTGGTAAGGATTATAATCCTAAAGCGCGGCCAGAGGCCGCCTACGCAGAAAGCAGGTCTATTCTAAAATACTATCATATTGCTTCTTCAACAACTATTTTTAATTAACTTTTTTTTATTCAAAATCGCCCGATATCCAACTTGGCATAATTTCTTTTATTCAAAAATCCCACGTGTTTCTGTTAGTTTCTGCTCAGTTTGCCTAAGAAAATACCTGGTTTTCCCCATTTTCAAACGGTTCCCTAGGGGGCTGTGGGAGGATCCCAAGAGGGGGACGCCTTTTTAAGAAAGTGGGACTGTCCTCTTTCTAGTGGGCGGTGATTTGGGGGCCCGCCCTTCCCCCTCCGCCCCACCCCAAAAACGATCGGTCAGATACTAAGCATTTCCCTTTTATACGTCTGGAATATATTTTGACTTTGGTTTTATCTAACTTTTATGACAGGCAATGCTTGTTGTTTTGAGCCGTTTAATAGAAGGTTCTTAAAAATTATTGCAATTTCAAAGTATGCAATAAAAATAGCATAAACAAGCGATGCTCTCATCTCTCATATGATACTTACATGCATATTTATTTACCACGATTGAGAGAAAATGTATTCTATCATTCTTGCATATTTACTACGTGTTTGGAAAATTTTTCTTGTGGACTTCGCCGAAAGCAATTTTCTGGCATGTCGGCTGGTGGAGGCTGTAAATCTTTTCTATACCAAGTAGATACGTCCTCGACGCTCAACTTCTCTTGACATAATTAGTAATCGGTGTTCAGTTTGCAGTTTTACTAGCTCCCAAGCAATAATTTCCAAACTATAAAACAATTAAGCTTATCTTCATCTTCTTCATCCATAGAACTATCCTCTGTTTCCAAAGGTATCTTTTTTGCATCAGACATTTCAATTTCCATGTAAAACAACATAACTTTCTCTATAGAGAAATAATTGTTGTACATAGTGAATAGCCTTAATATTACTTATGAAACAAAGTTAAATTCTTAGATATGCGAAAATAGCCAAATACAAAACAAAAAGTAAATGTTAATTTAAGGAAACACTGAAATGTATAGACCCGAAATCGTTTGAATTTGCATTACAAAAAAGTCATAAAATTCAATGCTAATTTAAAATGAGCAAAGTTAATTTTTTTTTGGAATTAAGATTTGTTTTTTAGAATTATAAAACTTATCTCAGTGTTCAAACAGACAAACTTACAAATTGTGCACTTGGCAAAAAATGTTACGTAATTAGTAGAGCTCTTGATATTCGATTAATCGAATATTCGAATTATTCGAATATGATGCTATTCGAATAGTAAAATTCGATTAGCAGTATTCGAATAATCGCACACCATCGATTATTCGAATAATTGATCGTTTTCAATTATTCGAATAATAACTGGTGCGCGATTATTCAATTTTTGAAATATATGTAGCTATGTATACATATGTATGTACGTAAACATTTAAATAAATTGAAATGTATGAATGAAGTGAAAACGATACAAAAATAAAATACATAGATTGTGTATAAACCTGTAAAAAAGCAGAGAGAATAATTCGTTAGAAATAGATGTCTATGTTGTCAAGGCATTCCTGGTGTATCAAAATGACAATTCAAAAAATAATTATCAAAAAAGAAAGTACAATTCAAGGCGAATTTATATAAGGCGGTGTTACTAGCTCAGCTGATTTTGTGTATGTGTTTCGCCGCACGGCTTCTGATATCAAATTGAAAAATTTTGTTTGAATTTCTACACACACTCTTACAGATTTTGACAGTTTATGCCGCCAAAGCAAAAACAAAATACATGTAAATTTTTGTTTTTGTACTCCTGCTATCTTCTTCTTCTTCTTCTTTTTTGGCGCTGTAACCGCCTAAGCGATTTTGGCCGAGTTCAGCAAAGCACGCCAGTCGTTTCTCCTCTGTGCCAACTGACGCCAATTGGAAACGCCAAGTGAAGCCAAGTCCTTCTCCACCTGATCTTTCCATCGCAGTGGGGGCCTCCCTCTTCCTCTGCTCCCACCAGCGGGTTCCGAGATGAATACTTTCAGAGCTGGAGCGTCGGGGGTTATTCGAACGACATG